TCTTTGGCTCTTTAGGAGGCGCGACTGGACTGCTTTTTACGGGTATCTTAGAGACCACTTGTTTGTTTCCTGTGGATATGTTAGGCACACCACCCCTGCCGAATAAAATTTTAAAATACAGTTTTCTCGAAGTTACTAAGGACTGCCTGAAATATTGTTGCCCTGGACAAAAAATTGCTAATTTGGCTGAGAAGGCAACAGAGAGCGTAGTAGGGGTTCCTAATAAATATTTCGGTAAAAGCAAAAACAACTGTACCTTGAGGGCTTTTTGAAGAGTCATCAGCCGCTTTTATTGATACGCCGACAATTTCGGGCTCGCAAACAGGAGAAGCAAGGTAAGCAGACGGAATTGTTGGTATTAGGCAGCTTAACGGGTCAACTTGTGCTCCCCGCATCCTTTCTGGTGATAAATCCTCGAGATCCTTCTCTGTTAAAGCTAATTCCAGAGGTTGCGGAGCTTCCGTAACTTGAATAAAGAGAAAGAGAGAACTATATAAACGAAACCTGGTATTGTTCGCGAACCAATTAACTTGGCATTATCTGGTTATATTGGGACCGCAGGGAAGGACGCAATTAACAAGGCCACAAACCTTAACCTTGGGATTGAATCGAACTGCCGACCTATTGATGTCTACTCGAGAGATCCAACAATCGTTTTTGTGAGCTACATATTTCCGAACGGCTTAATCCTAAGGAGAGTCGTTATTTGCAATAGAAGGAAAATTGCGCAAGTAACACCTGTCGCACTCTAAGGAGCCGACAATTTGACAGTTTAACTGCGTTCCAGAGCGAACTTTTACCTATTTTGTCGATTTCCCCATGTCGAATAATCAGCAAAGCAAAAAAAGGTTATTGCTACTTCAGAATGCAAGCATACTTATTGATGCCAGCCACGTCGTAGTGAATAATAGCACGACCATATGGCGAAGGAAGGGGGTAACGTAAACGCACCCGGGGAGTTCTTTTCTTCTAGCACGGGCTGGTCCGGCGGAGTCAGAGAAAGTTCAAAAATGTCCTGTCCACAGGGCGAAGCAGGCGGATCACTTTTGCGGGATTCCCCTTCCCCTCCGATTTCGACTGCCTCTGCTGCATTCTTTGCGATTTTGGCTGTTGGGTGGGCGGGCCGAAAAGTTAAACAATTGCAGAATCCACAAACAAATGCAGGTGAAAATGTTTTGTCACAAAACTCAAAAATCTGCTAAGTAATCGACGGTCTGACATTTTCAAAGTTATGGAATTGAAAACCTACTTATAGTCGAGCACTTGTACATTTTCTGTCGGTACGCATGATTGGGAGGTTTTAAGTAATTACTTATAGCTTATTCGTCGAAAATAGCAAACCCTACACCCACCAGATTCGGAGGATCGGTAGAAAACTTTAAGTCAGACATTGCAGGAAGGCGAGGATTTCACTGCTTTCCTTGTTGAGCTACCACCCTGTACCTCTGCTTAGAAAATTTCAAACCCGGTATGGGAGAAACGTGTGACAGTGAGCGAGAAGCGGACGAAGAGGGATTGCCGATCAATAGCAGTAAGTTTTGATTAGTCTGCATTTCGGTCTAGCAAAACAGTTCCTCGTAAGAGATAAATGATGAGCGGTAATCATGTAACGTTTTACACTTGTTGATGAACGTTCACTGGTCGCTTACTCGAGTAAGTTCGTAATAAGCCGAGAATGGCACGATTATACACCAAGGCTCAACGATGAAAGAAAAAACGTAATGCCAGCCGAATTATATCGAAGGCCGAATAGGGTATAATTTACCGGCTACGAAATGGCTTCCCGCTGTCAAAAAAAGAAAATGGACCTACTAGACGAGGGCACTTGAAGAGAATACACATTTGGCGTTCCAATAATTGAAACAAGTTTGTGCAGTAACTCCACCAGTATTTTTTCCCGGGCGTGGACCAGTAAGAATGAGGATAATTTAAACCCCAAAGGAACTTGGTGGGACGAAGGCAGTGGTGAACTCTTAGAGACAGTGTTTAAGTACCTGACTCACTGCGGTCCTTGACGTCCGAGATGCACCTCCTTGACTACAGACGTAAATAACATCGGCCGCTGTGTCATCAGCAAAAACAAAGTCAACTCCCATCTCCTCCGCCTCTATTGTCACTGCTGCCAAAGTTGATCACTTCGCCCACAGAACTACGAAAACTTATAAACAGACTATGCCGATTCACTTAATTCTTCGGTGTCTTACACCCAAGAGGAAATACCGCGAATAATGTTCGGTCTAAGGTCGGAAAAATCTGGATGCACGCACGCTGCTCATACCTATCCTACATCGCTACGTCATCTACCACAAGGCCAGCTAAGGTTTACTTCGAGTGCACCCTACACAGTGAGTGTTTCTATTCAGTAATTCCTATCAGGCGTCAGTTTCTTTCACTAGGATTTCTCAGGAAAACCGGACCCCTCGAGTTCCGGTTGCCCAATGCCTTCCCAGTCCATTGCTTGAAGACCTAGGTTTCTCGAGTCAATGCTAACGAAGTACTTAAGGACTGCAGAATAAAAGACATGTTTGAGCAGATTGCAACATACGAGAAGAGACTGTCTCATCCATTTCGGGGATAGCTTCTTTAGCTTGCGGCATTGAGCTGACAGTACTTTCGGGTTGTTCTTCTGGTAACTTGTCTTGGTCAACAGAAGTCTTCTTCTGGGTCCTCGGACGGCCTCTCTTTCGCTGAGAACTAGTCGTTGCCTTTGGCTTCTGCTTCCTGGTTGCCTTTGTGCTGCTACTCCCAATGCCCTCCTCCTGAGAGTCTGAAACAGCACTCAGCTGGCTGGCAAGAGCTTCGTTTGCGGCTTCATGAACGGGTGCCAGTGAGTCTGAAAAGGCCTGCACTAATTCAGCCAATTCTTTTGACGATTTTTGAGCACCTTTAGTCAGGGCTTCCTTTTTGGCACTGCTGTTGTTCCTCGAATGCGTCAAACGCACGTCCTTACTTCCCTCCATGTCAGCGCTGGCTGCAAGGTCCTCATCGTCCGCTAGAGCAAATTCTGATGCCTTTTGACTTCGAGGAGGTTGGCTCCCCTGTTTGGGAGTTGTAGTAGCCAAGGTTATCGGCAAAGGTGTACTGACGATTGCGGCTGGCATCAAGTGCTTGAGAGCGGAGCTGGGACCTGGGGTCTATGAGTATAAGGACATGAGAGATAAGTACATAAAATGTACAGTTGAAAGAGCGCAGCGTGCAACAAGATTTCGAGAAAGTGCAAGTCCAAATACCACTGTAAAAGCAGCTCCTAAACGGGACACGAGAAGAGGAACTCCCCGTCCAAGTAATAAAGGTAGCCCTGGGCATAATTCTTGGATGGGTAGATATTCCCGTGTTACACTCCTAAAACTAGCCCTAAACGCTAACACTAAACGCTAACACTACAGTTAACACCAAAACTAAACTTACTCCTAACTCTAAACCTAACCCTAAGTTCTCTAGAAGTTGGCACTAGGCTACCTGTATTGCAGGCAGTTCCTGATGTCATATTCTATCCAGGGGGCCTTCGAAGTACCGCTTACCATGAAGTGACTTGTGCACCAAACACCATCCAACACGTCAGACTTGCACTCAGAGATTTCTACTACAGCTTCTACCGCGATACCGCGTATGTAAATGGCCGTTCTCATTCCAGCATGCTTCCGCGTGCGTTGGCAGGCCGAATTTTGAAATCCTAAGGTCCGACTTGCCCAATTAATTGGACTTGATCCAATAATTTTTGGACGTCCTAATTACCCTCCTCCAATAGTTATTCTTTACAACCAGGCAAAATAAGATGCATCCACATGAAAAAAATGTTACTTGCAGCAGAAAATGTAGCAAGACAGCAAACGTCTAAGCAACCGCGCATTTCGGTTAAACTGCCACCAGTAGAATAGGCGTGACATCCCCTCACCTCGCTTCCGGCATCTGTCTTAGAATGATTCTCGGCCTAATCCCATATACGTCTGTCTGCCAAGGTAACCTCTGTGACGCCAAACACCCTGTTGTAAAAATCCCAAATCCTCCTTTCCATTTCTTCTGAGGATGCGCTAGTGTAGCCAGCTTGAAAATGCAGGAGTAAAACCCGATTTTTTCCGGAGAGCCTTCCTTCTCCCTTATGTCATCTCGGAATGCACACCATCCTGGTTATTCAATACATTTATAAACAGCAGGTGAGCTAACTCATGCAAAGTCGTGACTGAAATTGGAGTTGGTAGTTTAGCCCACAACTGGGCATGTTACTTTGATCTGATGAATGGATTTGATCCAAAAAATGCCTTTTAGTACG